AATAGGAGAGTCCACCATATATCCTATAAATATTAGATTGGAACAAAAGTTCATATTGTTTTTTTGTAAATGAATTTCAAAGGCAATATTTAGATATTTTGCATAGATCTATTTAATTTCATATATGATTTTGCCATCTTGAGGTATCTTCATGATTCTATGATCCCAGGACTTGGCATCATTTTGGGTGGTAACTGGACTGAGTAGTTTTTTACAGGCTTCCAGAGAAATGAAAAGTGCAAGGTCAGGTGAGTACAGCAAGTGTGGAAGGATATCCCAGCTAAGCTGAACTGATTTCTGCCAGGTCTACAAGATTATGTGCCATCTGATGTTGTTCTGATAGAAGATGACACCTTTTTGATTGGCCAATTCCAGGTGTTATTTCATCGATTGCTGCCCATAATCACTCCAACAGGTAACAGTACTTGTTTGAATTCAAAGTCTGATTGAGCGGAAGGAGCTTGTAACACCCAATACCCTACCAATTCTACCAGACACACAGCATTACTTTCTTCGGATGCAGAATGATTTTAGAGTGGTTAATGGTGGCTGAAAAAAACTATTTTGTTGAAAACTTTACTCATTAATAAAAGTTGTTCCACTGCTTCAGTGTTTCATGTCATGTTACCTGAATTATTTTTATTCAGTTTTTTCATTTAGACATAATCGATAACTGCGAACCTGCTGGTAGGTTCTTGGTCTTCCAGAGCAAAATTTCCACTTCTGAACTTAGAGAACAACTTATGAACATTACTCTCAGCTATGGCACCATCTATATAAATAGCACATATGATTTTGTTACTTTTATAGTCTTTTTTCTTTCCAGAAATAAAAGAGTACCAGATGAAAATGTGTCTTATTTTCCTCCATTTTCATGTAAAAAGCATTTAAAAGTTCCAAACTACACATGAATAATACAGAAAGAGACATTGAATTGCCACCTTTCAGAATATTTATGAGGTCTTATCAAAAAGTATCAGGACTGTTGCTATAGTAACAGAGCTAAGGTAGTGAAGCCACTTGGCACAGATTGACCTTGAACTTTGTCATGCATACACTCTAAGTTATAATGTTGTCACTCACTTCTGTTGTTTATAGCAGTGATTGGAAGGAAAGTGTGTAGAGTGTGGTCGTTTCACCCCTCCACAGAGATTCCATCAGTGACCCTTGATTGTGCGGCAGTTTTTGGCTAAGCACAACATTCCCAAAATTCCACAACCACCATATTCTCCAAATGTCACTCCTTGCAACTTTTTCAACTTCAGAAATCAAATCTCAGTTGGTTTCAAGACGTTGAGGAAATCCAAGAGAATGTGATGAGGCAGCTGCTTACAGTCCTTGAAAATGAGTTTCAGGAATGCTTCCACCAATAAAAATGATGAGCATTGGAAAAAGTGTGTGGATTCAGAAAGGGACTACTTCAAAGGATATTAAATGCTGAATTGATGTATGTTGTAATTTTTTTTCATATGCAGCATTCCTGATACTTTTCAATCAGACCTTGTATATAAGTTATATTGGATGCATACAAAACAATAAAAAATGTTACATGTTTAAATGCCACCTATTAAAAAACCCTATAACCTTTTGTTTGTCATTTCCAAAAATCAGGGAATTATTCGATTCAAATGAAATTTTTAGTACTTATTCATTAATGAATGTACTGTATACTGAATAGGTTATTCTATTAAAAAACTTTGGAGAAATATTGATGTGGGGTATGATTCACCCCTGCCTCCTTTTGATATCTTGTGTGTTCTTTTTTTTGTGATGTCAACGAACACTCATTGCCCCTTTTGTAATGTCAACTAATGCTTGTTGTAGTAGAGACTTTGTAATCACAGATATAACTATAGTAATGCCGCTGAACAATACTGGTGTCAGATGCCTTTGAATAACACTTGCACTAATAGTACTTGCTTGATAATACTCACTTGAAAAGTAACCACCGAATAGTAATCTGTATAGTGATCAGTATAGAGAAATAGTTACGGAATAGCAGTCTGTATAGTAATAGAGGATAGAGTAGAAATAGTGATCGTTTAAATGTTTTTCCTATATATATATATATATATATATATATATATATATATATATATATATATATTCATATATATATATATATATATATTTCCTTTATTATAACATGATCTACTTATTGAAAATGGAATCACCTGTGTTTTCTCACTGGTGATCTGTGTTCAAACTCCAGTGTCAGTAGTGACACTTTATTCCTATATAACAACTTTTTAATTGGGTATGTGTTCTGATTTTTTTGCAGTTATATAAAGAGAAATTCTTTAAGAGGATGTTTCTGTAAAAAAATTAATGCAATATGAATGTGAACATATAGAAAATTTGTTCCAAACTTTACCAAAAATAATACAGTACAATTGGCGCTTTAATGAAACATGTCATTTTCTTTCAGACTGAAGAGAAAAAAAAATTCTTAATATTTATTTAAAAAAAATGACTTGTAATTTTTCAGTGCAATTTTCATTGCTGTTTGTTTAACAGTTTCTTTTAAATGAAGATTCAAAAAATTTAAAGTTTAATGCCATTTTCAAGTGTGACCCCTTAAAAGACTTATTTTATTTTTCCTTTTAGTAACTGTTAGATTATTTTTGCTAGGGATGTACAAAAAGAAATAATAATTCTGATATCTCACTTTGACTAACTACAATTCAATATTGAAAGAGTATTAACTCCCGTTCAGTCAGCTTTAGTCTCTTGAAAGCAGTTTTTCAATCCATTGATATGGGTGTTTTTTTTTCACGTGCCTCTGTTTTCCTGTATTTACAGATTCTTGTATACAAGGAGAAGAAACAATACTTAATTCAGTAATTAAATTCAAATTGTTCTTTTAAGTTTTCATTATTTTAAAAACAAATCTTTGTCTTGTTTTTTCCTGCATAATTTGTTCTCGTCACCAAGAAAATTTTCAGATTTACAACAAAACTATTCCATTCGCATAAAAGATACATTAATTTTTCTAAAATTTACTCTTAAATGTTTTTCTTTTCACAATGCAAATTACATTTAGATTTTTAGTCATTTATTTATTTACATATTTTTGTTTTGGTAGCACCTTAATGCTTTCAAACTTATTCATTTATACTAAGTTTAATTAATAAAAGAGTATAACAGAATAAAAACATTAAACTATTGAGTATAAGGTTAAAGAAAATTTATTTTTAAACATAAATAACAAATTCTTGGGTAAATTTTCATTTTAACACCTGAGCATCATTTACTGCTGAACTATTTTCTTTCAGAAATTAGTACGCGTTTCCGTAAAGTGATTTTTTTTGTACTTAATTTAAGAATAAAGTTAACTTTCAAATATATGTAAACATTGACAAATAAAAGAATAACAAAAAAAAAAAAACACCTAACCCTAATTTGAAAGTTAAAAAAAAAAAAAAAAAAAACAAAAAAAAAAAAAACCCACATAACCCTAATTTGAAAGTTAACTACAAGGAATTACTGTGAAGGGAGTAAATAGGCCCAAATTGTATACGTCCACCGACAGAATTCAGCACTGAATTACATATCAATAAGCGAAGCCGCTAAATGGCCGACGAAAGACCAGGAAAAAGTCCGATTTTTTTTCGGGTGTTTAACATCTAAAAAGGTAGGTTTCTTTAATATCTAATTGTTGATTTGAGTTCAGCATATACATTTGCACGGAAATAAGTCTATTTGGGAAAAATTTGAAGGGATATTAGCGCTCGGGTGTTAAAATGAAAATTTACCAATTCTTGATTATCACAGTGTTTCTGTATTTCATTAAGTTTTATTTTTCCTTTTTTGCGTGCTTTTTTAGGACTTACAGTGAAACCAAACGCCACAGACGACTCTCATCACAAACAAATAGGTTCAGGAACAAGTTTTCCGAATTAAAAAATGTCTTAGATGAATGGTGTCTCGAGTGACACATTTTTTTCTAATTCTATTCTTTGATCTCATTGGTTATTGTATGTAAAAATAAAACGTTTTTCATTCTCTTTTACTTTTAGTTTTAAAAGTAAAAGGTGAGCATTACTTTTGTTTCGAAAATCCAGATAATTAATCCTTAAATTTACTAACAGACTTAGAAACACATCTCTAGGAGAAATATTGGATTTTAAAGAGATTTTTAAATTTGTCGTTTACATTTTTTGTTGTATATGGCTATTCGATGAGTGACAGAAAACCGTGTCAATGTTTTAAAGTTTACTAAATATAAGGAAATTAATTTTCTTTTCATTCGGATTAGCTTTTTACTTTAGACTACCATCTTTCAAATAGAACCGAAATTTAAATTCAAAGAAGTCATTTATTTAAATGCCTAAAGTAAAAAAGTTTACTTTCTTATATACGGAAATTAATTTTTCTTTTAATTCAGATTAGCTTTAGGTTTTGATTTTTCAAACAAAACTGAAAATTTAAATTTGTTAAAAGAAGGTATTTTAATTTAATTTAATTAAAAACTTTTTTTTTTTTTTTTTTAGAAAATCCGTGGTGGTACCCATCTCTGCACCAAAAAAAAACCCCAAAAAAACAAAACAAACAAACCAAAAAACAAAACAAACAAAAAAAAGCGGCTAGAGAACAATCAATGAACTTGAAAAGTGTAATTTCTTGAAAAACTGTTTTAACTTTTAAGGAAAAAGATTTTATAAATTTCTACCGTCAGTAAGTCTTTGTTTGGACAATTAATGTTGGAATGTTTCTTTTATAAAGAAGCGGCTAATTGATTTAATTGTTACCATTTTTAGTGCATTGACTTCTGATGCGAGAAGGAATTAAAAACAGTGTTAGTAAACGCAAACAACAATTTCCTTATTTTAATTTTGAAACAATTTAATTAATTTAAGACATTTTTACAGCTATTTCATTTCATTTTGGCCTGGACACATTTTAAAGACACCCTAAAATTTAAAGCAAACATCGGAAAACTAATTGATTAAAAAACATTTGTCACTTGTGTCAGATTAAAAAATGTTTATCATTCGAACCTTTCTTGATCACAAAGACAGTTATTGCAATTCGTTTTTCCATCATCTGAATCCCTACTCGGCGATTCAATTTCATGCCTTTGCATTTTTTTTTGTCTTTGGAAACTTCAATGTGTTTTTCTTTTAGTTTTATCTTCTTCGACGTTCACTGCTGGCATGCGATTTTGTTGCTATTGGCAACAAGAGTTGCTGAGGGGAGATAACTCTAGTGAATTATTTCGACCAGCTTGTCACCAACCTTTCCATCTTCATGGGCCACTAGACTAAAAATGTATAATTTTAAATTTGGTGGACCACTAATATGAATTTAAAAAAAAGAAAGAAAGAAGGTAAATGCATTTATATAATAATATTAATAACAATCGGAAAATTTTTATTTTATTAATATGAAATGGACTCGTTAGGTAACAAAGTTATAGCGTAATTTTAAATAAAAAACAAATTGAAAAGTTTAAGTTTATTCAAGATTACACATTTTAGTAGTGTTAGGTTCCAGTAAAAAAGAATAAGATTTTCATTCATTAACACTGAGTCTATTACCGTAACCGTTTACAATGTCATCCGTAATGGCGATTTGACGTTTTCAACGTCTACTAAAATTTTTTTTTTTTTAATATTTTTTTTGTAGAAATAGTTTTCGAGTACGAGTGGAATGCTTATGAATTTGTATCTTGTGCGTAAGCCGATTCTTAAAGATCCCACTATTACTCCGTTGCTATGCCATGTTTGTAGAAAATGATACTAGTAAACCATCGAGTAACTAGTTATCAACAGTAATGGTAAGAAACTATTCAGTAACATAAGTATTGAATATGACTTTGCAAGTCATACTATGGTTGGATGATGTCACATTTGTGTACTTGTGTTTATTTCGAGATTACATAACGTCTTGAACATATATACCACCCATAATACGTTTTCTTAATCGTCATTTTTTAATCTGAAGAAAAAAATTGAAATAATGTCCCAATTTTTCTGCGGACCATCAAAAATTTTGCGCGGACTATCAGTGGTCCGTGGACCACCGGTTGGCGACAACTGATTTAAGCGAACTATTTACAATTTAAATAAAAATATGAACCTACCCTTTTAAAAATTTTTTTTAATCATTTCACCCCCATGCAAGGCAATAAAGCCACTAGAATGCAGTGACTTTCTGAGTGTTAGAGAATTAAGTCGAGAGTACAATAAAAGAACAAGAATTAAGAAGGCAGAAGACAAAGATTGGCATTATATTTGTGGAATCTTCCACAACAGCCAGTTAACCCCTGCTAGGAAATGCACTATTCCTGTTGTGATTTTCACCATCACCATCTTACAAAATATATAACAAGCATTCATTGGTTAATCACCTTCAATCTAGTTTGCTGATTGGTCAGTTTCGACCAATCAAATCACTCCCACGGGACAGATTTTCCCGCCAACTCAGTCGGAGCCTTCCACGTGATACACGATCTTATATAAACAAAACACGTGTTCTTTTCATTCATCTTTCTCCTTGCTGGGGTGCCGTTCGGGGAAACATTGAACTAACCCCTTGGACGAACTAGATCTGCTGCAGAGAGGAACCAATTAAAACGAAGCCCGAATTGATAAAAGAGGGTTTCTGCTTGGGGATTTGAGGGTTTTCAAAGGTTGACGGCCTGCCCTCGGCGGGTTTGGATGGTTATTTATTTTTGGCTGGGCCTACGGGCTCAGAGATACCCACATTAAAAAGGCCTTGTGCCACATTCGATCCCCGTGGGTGGATTGATAAATACCATCTTTCTCCTTGCTACCAAGATGTAATCTTCAAGAACTCCGGTCTTGACCATGTAGTCAGAACATTACCAACATTCACGCAAGTACGAACTCTGAAATCTCTTCTGAACTTTTACCAACTTGTACAATACACAATTCCAAACATGCAACAACTCATTCTTCTACAGTTTAATAATCAACTTCTTCTTTATGAGCTTAGGTACAAATATTACCTAGTCTAAGAGACACAACTCTTTCTAACCTTTTCCGTTCACATGCATGTACATCAAATACTTAATAAATTCAATTGTTATGTTTTGAAATCATTCCGTTCAGTTTTGTATTTTATACTATGTGCTATTTACGTCAAATATAAATTGCATTGCGCCCACGCATTGTCCTTAATCCCACCTTTCCTAGCCAAAGTTAAATATATGTAGTACACACCCTTACAATATTGGTAACACTGTCGTTACACATTCACATTTTTGAAGATTAAAATATTGACTGTGAAGTAAGAAATCAGAAGAAAGTTCCACAAGCGAGAAGTGCAATAAAATAGACTGTTAGCATAGAACTTAATGTGACATCTAGCCATTTCCACTGTAAAATGATGATACCTTGCCGTCAATCTATTATTGCACTTTACATTCATAAAGTCTAAGCACCATAGATGAAAGTTCATTAGAACAATTACCATGAAAGTATTTATAGACAAGGCACAGGGAATCTACGCTACGGCGATAGGAAAGTCACTGAAACGGAGATACCAGGTCAGGACCAATGATATTTCAGATTCTTCTTTAGCGTTCCGCAACCACTTTTTTTTTATCAATGTCGATTTCTGTGCAAAAAGCGGATCACAGAGCTTATCCAGCTTCATACATATTTTAAGAAAACCTCAACTTCTGATTAGTCACTTAATATTTAAATCATGTTTCTCAACGACGTCCGAATAGCGTTAACCTAGTTCTTGACCTGACCAAAAAATTAATTCCGCCCCAAATCTGTCAATGCCTTTCGAGCCTGTCACGTGATTAAGTTGATTATAAATAGCAGATACGACTTTGTTTCATCCTCTTTCTCGATTTCCCTCGCTACTAAAATGTAGTAGTAAAAGGAATCGCGTCTCGACCACTTGCGGTCAGACGCTATGAAAACATATACACACACGCACAAATACACGTACATACAAAACTTTTCAAAATTCATTAAGAACATTACAAAGTTAATGACAAGCAACGAAGACTTAATTACATTCATTACGGAACACTCACACTCCTTCATCACTTCTAAAGTTAAAAGTTTACTCAATATATTCTCAGCTTTACAGTATTCCTTCAACTCTCTGACAGTGGACATTTTGAGCGGCAAGTTCATTCAACATTTATGAGCTCAGATAAAAAATATTCCATTAGTAAAAACTTCAGTCAAAGGAATATAACAGTAACAAAAATAGTAACCCCTATGCTTGTACATCATTATACAAATATAAATATTAATCTTGTTGTTATAAAATTATTTTGTGTTCCTTCTTGTTTCTCATGTTGCTTTTGCGTTTGCTTTTTGCACATTCGTAAAGTAAAAAAATGTTCGGGTTGATTTAGGCCGTCAATACCGCTAAATTTCTTTGAATTTTATCAAGAATCTCTTTCGGAGGAACACGAGACCAAATATAACAGCAGTATTCAAAGCAAAGACGAATGGTAGACTTATAAATATGTAAGATAGCGAGAAAAAATGTCTAGCACGACATAATGAACCAACTTTCTTAGCTGCAGACTTAGAAATTGATTTAATTTATTTTTTCTACTTCATGTCAGTTGAAACGTTAGTCCGAGAAGGTGCAATTAGTTTGTAGCGGTATTGACGGCATAACTCAACCTGCACATTTTTTTTTACTTTACGAATGTGTAAGCAAACAAAAAGTAAACAAGAGAACGAACACAAGAAAATAACTTTTCATAACTAACAGGTATATAAATGTCAACGGTTTTACATGAATTAATCATATGAGTTACTTCCCTTAGACTGAGGTAAAGTCTTTTAAAATATTTTTTTACCTGAGCTCACAAAAAGTTGAATTAACTTGTCGCTCAAAATGTTCACTGAAAGAGAGTTTAAAAAATCTTGTAAAGCTGAAAATGTGTTGATAAACTTTTAGCTTTAAAGAAGTTGGAGAAGTGAATGTTCCATAATGTCTAATTTGTTTTCGTTGCTCGTAGTTGAATGTACTATTATCCGTAATTGTTTGTACTTAAGTTTCGTAAGATTCACTAACGTGATTGAATAGTTTTTTTTAGTAAGTTGCAGAAGTTGGTGAGTGAGTTGTTTCGTTGAAATTTTAGCTTGAATTTCAGTGAAGTTATTTCATGTTAAAGAACTTGAGATTCTAACTTTGTACTTCGCTGCAGTAATGATACAAGCGTCGTGAACTCGTTTTGCAAATGCCAGTCGTCGTAAATTCTCACTGACTGGGTTCGCTTGTACATTCAATTTATGTTTTTTAATCACGTGGCAGGATCTTGAAAGCATTGTTTTTTCGTGAGGTCAAAAACTAGGTTGATGTTATTCGGACGTAGTGGTGAGCAGGTAAATTGTTTTTTTAATATTTGTTAACCACTCAGAAAGCGCCTTACAAAACTCAGTCTGGTGCCTTATATGTTTTGTTTTGCTTATTGAGAACAATGTACGTGAAGATACACGTGATAATTTAAATATTTATTGTCCAATGAGAAGTTAAGGTTTTCAGAAAACATGTATGAAGCTGTGATCCACTTTTTGCATGAAAATCGACATTGATGAAAAAGTGGTAGCGGAAAGCTAAAAGTTACTCTCCTGGAGGTTAGCATCAGCCATGCTGATGGAGGGTGAAAAGGGTTCTCCCAAATGAATAAAAGACAGCAGTTTCGTTTTTGAGGTGTTAAATTTAACAAGCTATTCCTTACCCTATTTAACAACAGATTGTTGGTTATTTTTAAGATCAGGTGCCAATTTGACCTTATCGAACCGATCAGACTTACCTTTAAGACAGGTGTAAATAATGGTCATCAGCATAGATACTGAGTTGAGAACTGATGACACCAGGAAGGTAATTTATGAAAGAATGAACGTAGGTCCAAGGACACCTGGAAACAGGAAAATGATCTAATTTATGGAAATTGAAGACAAATTTCAATGATTTGATAAGTAGGTTCAAAATTTTATTCAGAAATACCATAACCTTTCAATTTGTGAAAAGGCCAGTATGCAAATGTCAAATGTTTTCAAGATATCCAACGCAACTGCCCTGAGCTTCACCATTTA